GCCGCACAACAACACACTTTCCAAGTTTACTTACAATTACAAAAATGGATAGGTAATGACAACATCTTTACTCAATGGGAGTAGAAGACGGCTGACAATATATTAATCCCTGTTTACACTGAGGCACCTTTATTACCAGAGGCAATATTAAAAAAAATATCATGTAGTTGCACTAGTGGTTGAAAAACTAAAGCCTGCGGATGTAAAAAAAACTTTCTTAAATGTACATCCGTTTGTGTAAGTTGTGATGCAACCCAATGCGATAACTTCGAAACTCCTGTCGTTCAAATTGATGACGATCCCGAAAATATTCTGGAAGTGATTCTTAAAGAAAATGACGAGGAAAATAATGATGAAAGTATAAGCATGCAGGAAGAAGAAGAAAGCGTGATAGTAGACAACGAATCCGAAGAAAGCATTGAAACAAAAAAAAGAAGAGTCGAAGAATAATCGTGATAAAAATTTTTTGTATTTTTGAATTTTATATTCATGTATTATTATTATTATTGTATGAAAAAATTGTAATCATTTCTATAATCGGACGATAATAAATTTTATTTGACTTAAACTGTTTTTTTATTATAAACAACCTAACAATATCTTAAAATGTCAAAAAAAAAAAAAAAATGTTTATAAAAATATTTCGGGGTCTAATTTATCAAATAAACAAATTTGATTGTCATATTCAGATGTATCTCGTCGAGCTACCCCAGATTAAGTACAAAAGGATTTTTGTACGTCATTTAGAAGTCGAGTTATCAAAAATTTTGAGAGTGCGAACGATTTTGAATGCGCGAATTCAGTTTCCGAAGCGACCGAGCCCGGTATCCCCACTCCATGGCCCGCTTGCGGCGCGCTCGCACGCTGCATTTTGAAATTTGTTAAAATATGTTGAAAGCCAATGAAATGAGTTCATCTATTTTTTTATTGAAAATATAAGCATTCAACTTTATTTTCCGTAAGAATGGACGCTGTAGCATGTAACTAGCGCCCTTTGGGATTTTTCGAAAAAAAAATTATCTTGGCTCCAGAAGGTCGTAGAGCAATATTTTTTTTTTTTTAAATAAGCGTAAAAATGCCAGCAATCAAGGTATGCAATAGACTTTATTAAGGAATACTTTTAAGAATGTGCTGAAATAAAGTAATCGGATACTAAAAGTGAGGTTCTACGGAAATAAATGATCATTAAAATTATATTACGGCACGATACAATATAAATAAAGAGTAGGCTGGTCAGAACAAGACTGTGCCGTTTCATTGAATCTTCCGTTGATTTCAAAATAACATTATCCCGCCTACGCTAATTACATCTCTAACGTTATGCTCAATGTCTCACATACGCTCATACACTTATTCCTAGTCCATATTTAATACCCAAAATAAAGTTGTATCTAAAAAATTAAGAAAAACTATTTTGTAGTACCGCTTTTTTTAATAAGGTGGTATGCTAGTGAATATCCCTTCAGGACGTTTATCATACATAGGTTATTTTGACGGATATTATTCAAACATAAAACGTATACTTAGAACGTAACCTTATGAAAAAAATCACGTGAAATGGTTTTTTTTAATGATTAGTAGAAATTTTTTAACTTTTTANTTCTTCTACGAGCCTTAGTTTTTTGCAAAAAACCTTTTTTCTTGACTTTACGAATTTTTCAGGTTAGGTTTGCCATTCGTGAGAAGGTAGGCAAAAACGCTATCTTTCTTAGAATTTTTTTTCCTATACGATCATTTTTTTGTTGGCTGTTAAAAATTTTGGGAAATTTAACATTGGGCCGTTACCTATTGATTGGACTACAACGGCGTGGTGGTGGATCGTACGACCTATTAGTTTATTTTGGCGATGCGTGCATTGCTGATAAAACCGCAAGAGCCTTCGGAAAGGTAGCGCCAAGTTGATCCGTTCGAAAAATAAAGTTGATTTGCCACTACTGTGGAAAAACTATGGATCACAGCAGTGGACGTTGCCCTGTTATCTATATCTGATCGAGAAGCAGCGCTACGTATGACAAATCGTACGTTCTACTGGTGAAACCACATCCTCACCGTGATTTATAATTACTTTTACAAAAAGTAATTATGCACAACGCACGTCTATGTGCATTTAACTAATCACAGTGAAATTAGTAGATTTTTACACGTGGTCCTTGTACGTTGTAGTATTGTACTGTTCATTAAATTGTCCGAGTACTGAAATACGTCTCTACTGTCTATTGTACAACTGTTGCCAATGATATCATTTCGACTACGAATACGCAAAAATTCCAGCCGCATTTAACAATATGACTTTTTTTTTATGATTTGGTAGGTATGTCATTAGTGTAGTTAAAATTCGTTCGATCTTCATTTTTTTTAAGCATCATAATTTATTAAAGTGATAATAACCATATTTATCAGTACGGTAAAAATATTCAATAAACATTATAAAAACTTTTCATTCTATGAGACAAACATTCTCGATCTTACTAATGTAATACGAAAAGCTTACTCACCACTGAGTACGTATCAATAGTTCATGTAGTAGTATTGGGATATTGGTATGGATCTCTTTCTTGTGCAGGACAACCCACACTTCTTTCATCAACACTTCCATAAGTCAAGATTTTGTTTTTCCAGTCAAGTGTTCGTCTTTAATTATATAAATAATTTTCTAAACTCATCCCCAATCATCTCTGCCACACCCATATAAATTATACTATTTATTTATTACTCAACTTATGTAATCTCATATAATGTTGAACATATTTTACATATTTTCTGTACTTATTTATCCTTAGTTGAGTATGCAGTTATTAATCAGTCTCTTTTCCTCTATATTAATGTGTTTACTCGTATGTGAAAAGTCTTACACCGTTTACTTATAAGCAAGCTCACACCTATGGAAAAATAATATCTCTTTTTCCTCTGATGAACACTGCCATTCATACAATACGACACTATAAGTTCGTAACAGTAAGTACGTGGTAAGAATTTATTCTTAAATTTGTATTCCGAATCACAGATGCAATACTTATTGAAAAAAAATTATTTGTTAAATGTTCAAAGGTTCCAAAATCTAAGAGTTAAATATTAGAACTAAATGGCCGTTAGACCTCCACGCATCGTTCGCAAGCCTATGATCGTTTCAGGCGTGATAGTATACAGACAAGAGGATTGTGTGATCGGTCGGTTCGTTTCAGCAAAACGTGCGCTACTCACGTGACCGTGAGTACTTTCAAAGACAGCGGTCGTGCGGCCAATCTGTATGTAAAGTGGTAAAAATTATTTACCCTTTTTATTTCGTGAGTCTTGTATTAATTGAAACTCATTCGTAGTACTTATTTGCATTGTATTAGAATATTGAAAATGTGAAAATGTGAAAATTTAATTTATGTCAATATTCTTACTAAGTGTGAGAATAAATTAAAATAATTCCTACATTTGATTTTTTGGTCGGTTACTTATTTTAGAAAAAATTTAATATGACAAAATATGGATTAAATATAAATAATATTACATGGAGGTATTTTTGGATAATAAAGGTAAGTTAGCTTCTTGACACCAAAAAAAAATTAGAAAAACTAGAAGATAAATCATGTTAACACTTCTATTTATCTGCATTGAATAAACTGGAAACTGTAAAAAGATGATCAAGATAAAGAAATACATTTTTGTGAAGGAGTGTTTAACTCAATTTTTATAGGTCTGAATAGTGACGAAACAAAATATTTAATATTATTTGCGAACAAAAAGTAGTTTTTTTTTTATCGATGTCTTGGGAGGTTTAGGAAACACTTATTTTGCGTAAAACGTTAATTTTTCTTTTTTATTTTTCAATGTAAAAAGAAATTTGTCCATGTCATTGACTGACATAACATCATATTTTCCTCTAAAAGGAATGACAAGTCATGTGACTCCGAAACTTTCTTTGGATCTTAACATAATAGAAAATGCCTCTTTAAAAATCAAAGCAGTTGAAAAAAATTGAGGGAATTGATCATTTCGTTACTTAAGACGAGGTTTTAGTGATTCTAAAAAAAGCATTAGAAATAGTACAGAACGTTAGGAGATTGATTAAATGCTGAAAACTATTTTCAAAGTAAATTAATTGTTTTAGGAGGTAATTTTTTTATAATAATAATTTTAAAGGAGGTAATGATTTTTGTCATATTATCCCAGTGATAAAAAACAGTAACAGAAGAGTTATAACAGAACTAACGATTAAAATTTTTTTCGATAGACCTCATTCTACATCATCAAATCAGAAATCAATATTCGTTTCAACTATGAAAGATTTTTAAAACTTTCATGTGCTATCGTTTTTAGTTCTTCCACGGCCACACCTTCTGCAATCTTTGAATCTATTTTTTTGGACTCAAAATATTGTATCAGGTGTAGTTTATCGCAGCAGTTATCTACAATGTTTTGTTTGACAACTTATTATTTTAAGGAATTTGTGCAGCGATGTCGAGTATTAAGAAATTTGCTCTTGTATTATACGCTGCTTATTGTCAGGCACAATACAGGTCCAACATTGTGAGTTTCGTCATGCAGCTGCTGTCATCAGATCAGGTTATAATTTATCCAGACAAGTTTAACATGATGAGATTTGATAACCTAGAAATTTTCAATTTAAACTAAATAATTATTTTGAAATTATCATCTTTAATTTCAGTTTTACTCTATTATCTGCATTTAATATTGACTTGACTTATTATCCTGCAATTTAGATTCCATACTGTACTTGACTACTTTATTTTTTGAAACTCATTCAATAATTACATAGTATACGTCAGATTCTGACATAAGAGTTTATGTAGCCAACTGCAGGAGCTTATATAGTATTTTTGTAGACGATAGGCCTCTTACCTACAACTAAAATTTCGTATTCACAACGACCTTATTTTATGATAGCTGGCAATAATAATAATTGATGCAGGTGTTTACTTCAAAATAAAATATAGTTTTTCCTTACGAATATTTTAAAATAAAAAAAACTAACTTGAAAAATTTTTCAGTATAATGAAGTGGTCTCAAGTATTATTCGGAGTTCTGTAGTAAATAACATAGATTTGTCAAACAATGCTGACTGTTTTGACAATCCTCAACACATGGAAGAGATTTCTCCCAATGGATCATTTTTTGTGCAAAATTCACCTTCAGATACTTATAGCATTCATAATATTATTTGTGATCCACCAAAAGTAATTCGGAAAGGTGCTAGCAGGGCTGAAGGTCCCCTGTATACTGGAGAAAGGAGTTTATTACTTGGCTTACAGCATCTTACTGGAGCATCTAGTTTATCTTTTAGTGTATCCGCGATTGCATCTGTCCTACAAAATAGGGAAACAACTACGTCTGCTTTAGAATTTACAACAATTGATATGTCGTTGTCTACATTATACTTACACGAGCTTCATCACAAATATGTAAGTTAAATAAGTACAAGTGTTGAAAATTTAATGAATAATACAAATACTTTTTATTTACAAGGACTTAGGATAAAACCACAATTAATTATATGGCATTCTAAAAAAATCTGAGAACCGAATCCATATTCTTTGCAATCACAACACATGTAAAATAAATGTTAAGTCAAAAGCTGTAAGGCACACCTATTGTTAAATTTTTTTTTACTGTTCAAGCTACAACATTTTTACACAACTACTACTCATATGAGATCTTTTGACTGCCGTTATATTAGTTTGTATGCATCATCTCACCTGTTTAAAAATCAAACTTTTTAATGATAACACCATTTTTGGTGGTAGGTACATTAAACGTGCAACTCATGGGCTTTGATGAATATAACCACAATTTTTGGACTTGATTTAAGGTCTTTTAATAAACATTATTGTACCTGGAAATGGATGGAAAATAAATTGTTACGAAATGTTTTCTTAAAGTACGTACAAATTGGGAAGTTAGTTTTTGATGACTCAACTAAATCGTTGTTTAATTTTAGTACGGCATACAAGTTTAAGTCCAAGTCCATGAGGTGTGTCTCTTTTTATCTGGGCAGACTGAGTGGTACTTTTTAAGCTCTTTGTATGGCTTTTTCTAGTGGGAAGCCAATTTAGGTTTTTAAAAATTTTCATTTTATCTTTAAAGCAATTTTTCTAGACCATAGACTTAACTGTAATAAAAGAATTTGTTTTACCAATAGTAACGATAGCCGTACTGTGATTGAAAGGAGATTGGTGGTTTGACTAGGAAAAAAAAAAAAAAAAAAGGTAAAGACTTTAGCACATAAGATACAAGTTAAGGTCCACGTGTAATAGTCGAGCTGGATTTTTTAATTAACACTTTTTCCATTCTAACCATGCAGCTGACGCAAACATACGTACTGGCTCTACTTTAAATCAGTAGCCATGTGGTCTAGGTTAGTTGTGCGGGCTGCGCGTTCATATATTCAAGAGATAGCAGCAGGGCTGGTGGCCTGTGCTTATTGGCAGAATACAAATAAAGTCGCGTGCTTGTCTGGGGCATTAACAACTGGGATGTTATTCAAAAGGCTGACAAGGAAACGTTAATTATTATTGGCTCCAGGTCTAAGTAGAAAACGGTTACAAGCACGTAATATACGCTTGATTTATGAAATGTTATGGTAAAATTGCATACACCATTTTTACATAATCCACATAAACCTATGATAACACTGCTAGTCTGCAAAAGAGAGATACATGTTATGAGTTGAATCAAAGAACATTCTCCGATTATAAAGACTCTATTCAAATTATGTACAAGCGCTGAGCCCATTACTCAAATATAGTTATACATGTAGAACATAGGTTCTACATAACCTACAAAGCCAATTAAAAAATTTTTTTTTATAAACGTGTTCCTTATCGTAACAGAATCTAATTAACCAATGAGATCGCTACAGGCTCGAAATGATGAATTAAAATTTTTTTAGGTTATTTCTGAGATTTTGAAACCTATCAAAAAAATTTCTGATAGAGGTTAAAATCAAATACATTTTGCAGTAACTGATATTTTGTTAAAATTTTTGGTGCCAAAATCAAATTTTGGCTAACATTCGAAAATTTTAGAACGTTGTATAAAATTGATTTTTGGAAGTGCAGCTCCTTGAAACCGTTACTACTAGATGACTGCTGTAATGATGAAGAGATCAATGGAGTCTCTTGACTTTCAGTTTGATTACTAGAAGTCGGTACGTTTTGATCTTTTTTTAACATTCTTCGTTTTGATGATGCTGAACGAAAAGCTGAAAAACACTTTGGACAGACTAAATCATCAATAGTAACATCAATTTAACAATGATTAGACATTGCAGATGTTAAATCTTCTGCTTCCACATACTTTTTTACACCTTCAGTCAAATATTCATTTTAGATTTAATAATTTACACATCTTTTACTTTTCGAATCATCCTCAGCAGACATTACTTACCAGATGTAAGTGCAATATAATATAAAATGATAATACTTTTGTATAAATGCAATTGTTTTACACTAGTTAAACATTTACTATCAGCATGATATACTTAAAAGGAATTAGATCAGAAAGAATATAATATTAGATTGTCATTGACAAGTAACGCCTACTCACACAAGAAAAACAAATTATATGCTTAATTTAGTAAACTACGATATCTTGATGTACTTAACGGCTTTCTTACCTGGATTTATTATGATATACTGATGACTTTTTGGTTAATTTATTTTTTACAACCCTCATCAATAAAAAACAGAAGCAATGTTCATGTTACTGATTAGGATCCTAGAATGCAATACCACTGAAATGTTGACTGTGTATAACAATGAATTTAGGCTGAAAAACTAATAAATACACTAAGAGTTTATTATTATTATTAGATTAATTTACTATTATTTTTTCAAATTAAAATTGACATGATTCTGACGTACTAAAGTCAGTTTTTGAATTCTAAAATCTTATATTCATGTGAATAATAATTAAAAAAACATTAAAACACAAATTAATAGTAAAGATAATAAGTCTAATAGGATACCCTTTTGGTTATTAAAACTTAAAAAATATTGTTTATAGGTATTTGTTATTATTATAGAATTAATTGAGTGTGAGTTTGCTGTCATGAACTTTGTTATCACTGAGATTTAAATACCGTATTAAAGCATATGATTAGTGTCCATTTAAAATGCATATGCTTTTCGTATAATTTGAAAAAAAATCTTTTATTTTCCTTTTATGATGTATAACAATTATATTTGGTGATTAACAACACACTGATCACAATTAGAAGCACAACTTATCAATAATAATATTGCATACTTTTTTAGCCATGAGACATACGGGCTCAATACTATATGTCATGTGCAGACAAATAAAACCATGCATAATTTAATTTGGCGTTAGCGTGGTGCCAGTTTATATATATATATATATATATATATATATATATATATATATATACTTGTTTAGAAAACAAAATTATTTCGTCAATTAATATATTTTCTTACACTATAGTACAACATCATGTACCCAAAAAATTGAAGAACAAATAAGGATGTAACAAGTCAGTTTTTCATTGATTCACTTATATTAATAAAAAAAATAATCTTATCTTATTAATAACCATATACTAAAACTGATACCACGCTAATAACGTCAAATTAAATTATGAACGGTCCCTTATCCAAATAATAACTGCATCAAATGCTTCTTAACTTCAGCTAAACATCTTGAAAAAGGCTGGTTATTCCCGATCACCTACGCACAAATAGACATAAAAAAGTCCCACAGTAGCTCTGTGTATGGGTTAAAAGTCCCCTAAAAAACTACACTTTTGAAGTGATTCTGCTTTTTCTTTCCACGTGATGTGCATGCAGGACTATAATGCGAAAACATTTTACAGTTGTATTATATTTACAGTTGTATAAATAGTAGTTTAATACGATCAGTTTCAAGTTAAAATATTTATTGCTTTTTAACTATTTTCTTATACATGTTTAAAGCACTTGAATGAATATTTAAAAAAATGATGTACTATGAATGAGCGTTTGTTTTAAAACACTTATAAATATTATTTTTATTTCGATATAAATATTTTGAGTTATTTAAAACGAACTTTGACACGCACACACTCATTCATAAAAATACGTACTTGCATAAACGTGATAGCAAAATGCAGGAAAGCAATGGAGATGCAGGTAAGAATTAGGCTCAAAACCATGTGGTTAGTGTCGCTCACCTAATGCTCTAGTAATCCCTTGTTGCTTATTTCACTTATTTTGTTTGTTCAGTCTCACAGTACATGCTCTCCGATTGCTCTTGACTCTTGCTGATATAAGAACAGCAGTAGTACGGAGTGTGCATACTGCAGGTAAATTCATTGACTGCAGACGTATTCATTGATCACTTATGCATCCATAGCTAATTACCTACTCTTATCAACAATTCATCATCTAGTCGAGTTGAGCAACTTTAGCTCGAAAATCTTGAACTGACAATGAATATTCTCTTGCAGTAGGTGAGATTTCGAATCAGAAGACATAAGTGCTGTGTTCTTTTATTCATGGTATGCCATTCCAAAAAAAAAACTTCTTAAATTTAGTTTTCATACAAATTTTTTCAAATAATAAATAATGAAACTTTTTTTTAGAAGCTTATAGTTTTCAGAAGTTTATAGTTTACGTTTTCTTAAAGTGCAATGTTTAACAAAACTTTTACACCTTGCAGGGTTGTGAATAGTTTTTGAACAATCGAGATATTAACGGTTAAAAATCGTGAGAGTTCCAATTTTTTTTAAATTTGGGAATATGTTACTATAAAAGTATAGTGTTAGGTATGAAAGGTATAGGTAAGGAGGTGCTTTGCGAGAATGATCAACACTTATTATTTCAAGAACTTTTATTCAAGATACTTAACTGTAATCATAGGCAAGGTAACGCGTGTGCTTCCTTGGAAGGCTCGTCGTGTACTCCCCTGATAGACTCTCTCCTTGCTCGCGCTTCCCTTTCCTTGGCCCTAGGGCCCCTCGTTACGAGATTTGAGGAGAGGGAGCGTAGAGTCTCACCTATGCTATCGTACGTTACATATTCGAGGCCGCGACGTCGTTGTCCTTGATGACGTTGTCTTTTTACTTTATGTAGAGCCTGTGTACTTGTTGGCAATCTTATGGGTATGTGCTGTTTTGTGTTCTGTTGTTTATGTTGTTTATGAAGTTTGGTATTTTACACTCATTCTTCCATTCAATTATAGGGAACCGATATTCTCTTTACATTAATATTTTTGCTCTTTGAATTATTCATTTTCTTCTCATCGTGTGTTGAGTGCACAACAATGTTATTTGTTTATGCGCTTTGCCTTGTATTACAATTATGTACAAAATTGCCGTGAAGTGGGCATTTGCTTAATATTACTTTTCATTAGGTGTTGTTTTACAATAAAGTATTCATTTTAACTTTAGCGTGCGTTTATTTACCAA